GACTCAGGACAAGGTGCTTTCCTATTAGTCTTCCTACCAATATGACCAAGTTGCAAAAACAAGGTCAAACTATTTCTATACTACGTAAGGAGACTGTGACCACAAAAAAGGCCACACCATCTTGCTCTTATACTTTCGATTAATCTTTTATTCCTTATCAAATTCATTGAGACCATTAAATAATAAACGAACGGTTTTATATCCTATATTAAGTCTAGAGTAATTGATAGTTTCATACATTATTCCGAAACGCTAAAATAAGATTATTGGTTTTTATCATCCGATACATTTGTTAATTGTCAAAAAGTCAATCGTTGATGATCGTCCCAAAGTTACATTGATACAAGCGTAATCTAGACAAAGAGGCTGAATGTCTTAAACGCAATGCCAAGAATAGTTTTATCAACGAAATTTTATAACTCTCAACAGAAGTTCCATTCTTTTCATTACTAATGCTATCTTAGTTAACTTCTCAACTACCATATTTTCCGGTGTATAAGACAACTTTTTACACCATAAATTTTTGCTCCTAAGTGAGGGGTCGTCTTATACGCCGAGTGTAGTTTAGGGATCGCTAATTATACTATGGTTCCGAGTTCCTTCTGCGCCCCTTACCTCTTCCTGCACACACACAGCTTTATGGTGAAGTGTAACAGCGGGCGGAGGGAAAGCGGTGCCCGCCGCCCGCTTTTCAGTTTAATCCACTTCCACTTATGTTTACGGTACATGTTTGATGACATTCAGCCTAATGTTTATAAGTGACAGTTTTGCTGCTTTGAATTAAAATTACCATGTTGAAATTAAATCTGATGTTCTTATAAGTTTTATTTGTTATGCAGAAGAGGGGGTAGTCTTATACGGCGAGTATATAAAAAAATCTATATTTTAACGGAAAAAGTCAGGGGGTCGTCTTATACGCCGGAAAATACGGTACTATAATCAAAAATCACTAGTATCTACATCTGTAACATGTAAATAATTATGATGCTGTTATCAATAATAAACTTATGAGTTGGACCATGTTAATGAATTAAATCTTTTGGACTCATCACTTAGAGACGAACTTTTAATTTTATAAAAATAATAATTTGGCCTCCAGATCAATATATGACTGAAAATCTTCCCTGTGAGTATTAAATGCATAATTATATCGTAATGAAATAAGGCACGTCCTCAGAATGGTGCTGATAAAAATTGTATTCAGAACAGTCGATTTGCAATGAAAGCATCGGCATACGTTATTTTTTTGGAATCATTTATGTGAGCTAACAAAAAGGATTTAGGTGACGCCATAGTAGAATTATAATTAATATATATTGTGACAAAACTCATTATATTTCGATTCATTATTCTGATAAGCAACTTTTCATCAGGAGAACAATAGCCTTGATTTACCCGTGTCCAATCCGTTAGTGATGACCCATGCGCCAGTTGTCTTGGCCGCTCGCAGAAGACCAGATTGTACAACGCGACGCAGCTTGGCCTGAAGAGGAGCATTTGCCAGTCCACCAAGGGCCGATATGACGAGGGATGGCACACGAAGACACCATTCGTGTAAAAGGAGATGAACTACAGCCTCAGGACGCGTGTCGTAATGAAGACGGACATACTAAAAAGTAAATACATAAGAAGAAATATGTTGAAGAACATATAAAAGTGATAACCAAAGGCAAAAAAACTAACCAAATCAAATATTTGCAATGATATAATGAAAACAAGATGAGTCCAAAGGAAACCAGGTTCGACCCCTAATGCTATTTGCGCTCATCAGAGAGCATTAAGAAGCAATGTTTTCAATAAAAATGAATTTTGAAGTTGCCCATTAAAATGATATGTTATAATAGATTCCAGTGGGTCAGCAATTCTACCTGGCCTCAAGATTTCCTATATTCCAGCAGAAAATTTAGTCATATAAGATGGTAGATATGGAGAACCAGATAGAGTTTCTGTTTGATATCAGTTTCCATTATCTTTATAATGTTGGTTTGACTTCGTTTTCGCAACTTGGTTTCAACGTATCAGTGAGAATTAGTCAAATTTTTTCTTAAACAGTTGTGGAATCACTTCTCCCCTGTTTTTTCCTAGCCTCTAATGCCGTATCTATTTCTCTTAACCTCACTTCATATGGCCCATTTATCTATTCACACCATTTTGTGCTGTCATTTTCTCTAATGTCGCCTAAGAGGGCTTCGCTACAAATGCGTTTAGTGAAACATAGACATCTTCATCCCTGACTCCAAGTGCAATTTGCAGTGCTTCAGAAAATTCATCCATTGGCCTTCGTTCCGTTTATTTTTCGAATTAAATATTGTTGCCGTGACAACCAGTAAATCAGTAATATGAGATGTATTCACTCAATTACGTTGAACGTGATGAAGGACTGGTAGAAGAAAACTTTTTCCACAATGATATGAGTTGAGCTGACGTTTCCATTGAATTTCACATAGCCTTGCTTTGCCAAAACTTGTTCTCATCCAGGTTAGACTGCAGTTTCGAACTCGCATCGGTCTTATCAACACACTCAGCGGGAGTCGAACCGCGATAGTGCAGGATGGAAGTTTGACACGCTAACCACTCGGCTACACTGCCACGACCGCCTTTTGGCCCATAGGGGAAATGTGAATTTTTAAGGAAGGCCAGGCCTTTTTGCCATATTCATCACCTTAAACAAACTAGGGTGAATTCATCTCATATTACTGATGTACTGGTAGTCACGAAAACAATACTTTATTCGAAAAATAAAGTATAGTAATCGATTGTTATAGCAGATATACGTTTGCTTCATCGACAATTCCACCAAAAGAATATGATATGGCAAAAAGGCTTGGCCTTCCTTGAAACTTCACATTTGCCCTGTGACCCAAAAGGCGCTCGTGGCAGGTAGCCGAGTGGTTAGCGTGTCAAGCTCCCATCCTGCACTGTGGCGGTTCGTTCCGTTTGCCAATTTGTGGGTGTTATACATAAAAATCACTGTCTGGCTGTCTTAAATCTCGTTGGCTAAGCGTCTTCAATTATCGTACCCTAGGGACACATCATCTAGTTATACTTTTTATCATCCCCACTCCCATTCTATCTCATTCCTTGGGGCCCTGTGTCCGGTTTAATTCGGAACCGCTGGTGTGAAGATATATCCCTGTGTTCATGTGGTCGCTTATATGTTGGAGAGATTTGTCGTCTCATTAGAGAAAGCGTGGCTGAGCACAAAAGTGCCTGCAAAGTTTATTGGGTTCAAAAATCGGAACTGGCAGAAACGGGACACAAGATTGAATGGTCTGCGGCTAAATATAAAATTAGAGAAGCCATCGAAAAATACCGAATATGAATAACACTAAATGTAGGGAATACCTGCAAGAATATGAGTAAAAATTACTTGTGCTTAATTAATAGATACGAAGAGAAACTGGGTTTCGATTAATCTCTTGAGATAACATTGTTGGAGGGACTTTTATTTCGTATGAAGGTGCATGAAGGAGAGATTCTTAGGTCGATCTCACCAGAAGACGAGGGCTGATTCTCGTACTGCAGCCGTTTGGCTTTAATATGACGTTCAAGTTGAAGCCGACGACGAAACATCCTCCCTCGTTTTGGGCGAAAACAGGCTTAGTTATGTTACCTTAAGGGATTCATCGAAAATCAATTATTCTTCAAATCTATACTCAAGCTAATTTATCGAGAGAAACCTGAAGGAAAGGATGCAATATATGAATGGTAGAATTTCTTATAATCACTAACACGGAATGAATACGAAAATTATGTGATTGTTATGATGCAATTAATTTATAGTGTTGGTTTGAAATTTTTTTCGGAATTTGGTCGGAACCTCAGGGAGACCTTGAGGAACGTACCTATTCCTGTGTCAATTGTCATATTATTCGAGATTTCTAGCACCGGACCATTGACTTAGTCCATTACTAGACGTTTCGCCGGCCTCATCAGTGAGATACTTATTACATTGACAAGTAAAGCAATCCCGTTACTACTTTTCTGTTCAACCATTGTGGCATCACCCTTCGCCCTTAGTCTTTATCTTACCTTCTAGTACTGTATTTCTTCCTTTCAGCTCCACTTAATATCGTACATTTACATAGTAACAACACTCTGTGCTCTCGTTTCCTCCAATGTCGTCTAAGAGCGTATCGCTAAAACTGAATATATATGAAGGATAGTCGCAGTTCTCAGGGCTGCTGGGTCATAGCTTCTAACTGTCATCTAGCCCCACTTTCCACCCCGCTTGTAGATTGGTCTCTCCTACACATGAAAAACACTGTCTGGGTGTCTAAAATTTGGTTGTTTATGGGCCTGCAATTCCAGTTCACGTTTACCTCAGATTAGGGAGTTTAGAGGCAATGACACCCATATCTAGGCACCATCATCTCCCAAAGCTTCAGACCCATCATCTTCATACTGCCCTAGTCCTCATAGCTACTATCTAATTACGCTAGTAGATTGCCAGACAACTCACTAATCAGAGAAGACCAAAGAAAAAAATCGTAAGTCAATCTTGTCACTTGCTCCTCCTTAACTCTTGTAAACTTCATGGCATCCCTACTAGGTTTTGCAATTTGATAAGAAAATATCATCCCAACAAGGTCAATGATACAGTACATAAAAATACTTAACAAAAATTAGAAGAGACATATAATAGTGAGAATAAAACCGAAGTTTTTAAATATAAATACTACATTGAGGCATGATTTGAGTCGGATTTTCACCCCAGAGGATTCCTTGAAGCTGAGGAGAATTACAAAGAAAATGTCAAAAAGGATCTAGTACTAAATTTAAAAAAAGCCAAAGAAAGTAGAATAAATAAAGGACCTATAGAGAGCCAAAAGTCTAACCACCCGGCAAAAACGATGATGACTATAATGACGAATCCTACAGTCAAGAAAAGAGATCAAGATAAAGTAGTACATTTGTCTTCTGTCCCTCTTAACATGGAAAACACGGCAATACTCAAGGAATTACTAAATTTTGCACTTCAGAATGAAAGAATGGCAATCAGGATAGTTTAATAGAGGTTATAAATATCTCAGAGAAGCTATTGGCAGAATAAAAAAGATAGCTAGTAATGGATTCATCCCAACGATCTTGACGCAACAAAAACCCAACAATGGGAACAATATAACAAAGACAAATGAAATATTTATAAGAAATGATCAAATAGTTCTACAAGCCAACAAATACGCAGTGATAGTAATGTAAAGGGATAAATATACAACGGAATTGGAAAATACCTACAGGAACAAAATAACTTAACGACTGAAAACAAAAAACCCACCAGGAAAAATCAAAGGAAAGTCTTCTTCGCAAAATTCAATAGATAGAAGTCCAAGGCAACCCTCCTTCAGTATCCGGTTAGTCCAATCTACGAATCCCTTTCATTAGGCTTCTCAAAACACAATTAAAGGTATGCCAGTATCAATCAACAAAGGGATTCTTCGAAACTCAGCTTCTTTTCATATCTCAAACATTTAGTTTGTCCATTGGCTCAACACTAACTTCTGTTGGTTAATGTCTACACGAGCAAGTTAGAGAAGAATTTCAAAGCGTCAACTTAGCCACCAATAGTAATCATGGGATATTTGAATGACTACTTCGCACATCGGTCGCATGAAAAAGACGACAGAATGAAAAAGTCAAATTTACAATGGATTTGGAAGAGAAAGAACACTTAACATTCTAGAATATGGAAGTAATCCGCTCATAGGAGACTCCTAAGAAACGGCTGTTTCGAAAGAAATAACATGTGGTAATAATAGTTAACCTCCAGTCTAACCATATTTATGAGATAAAGAATGGAAAGAATGGTTATATTCCTAGACGTTTCGCCGGCATTGTCAGTGAGCCTTGTCATACTTAGCACCACACAATAACTCGTCAAAGAGACAAGTGAAGACGATCCTTTGGCCAATTGTCTGCTAAACAATTGTGGTATCTCTCCTGCTCTGGACTATTCACCAATCAAAAAATACATTAACTTACCCGTGCTTTGGTGGGGTGTGGCCCACCTTGGAATTCAACTGTTCCGTAAGCATTTGTAGGCATCTCCCGAGTATGTTTTTTCACTTGCCAACGTTCTTGGGTGGCTGCTGTTTGAGTTAAGCCTGATATAGATAACGGAGCCATTAAAGTGGGTCGTGCGGAGGTTTGGCCAATTGAAACTTGGTTGATATTAGGATTTGTGATCTTTGCTTCGAGTTGAACAACGGGCTCGTGATCTGCAAATAGGCGACCACATCCACATCTAAAGGGATGGAGTGAAAAATTAACCAACATAGAATTTGGGATTGAAATATATATAACATTGGAAATAAATAAAAATATAGAGGGCTCAGGAAGATTGATAAAAATATGCAGGAAAAAATTGCTAATTAATGATTTAATTTGTAATAGTTAGGAGAATAATTGAAGAATGAGAAGAGGATAGTAATCAAGCATCATAGAAAGTCCCGAGATTACATATCTAGCAAAACTTTTAAATCTCTCGAGGAAAATTGAAAATTCAAAAAGATATCAAGTCCAGGACATATGGTAGTAGAAATGATTTTGACGGTGTAAATTAGGATCTACTGCCTGACGATATAATCAAACATATCAACCAGGAAAACATAAAGTAGATGAGAGAAAAGTGACGCCAAAAGAGCGTCTTATATAAATATGGTTAGAAAAAGGATGGAATTAGTCAGCGTAAAGCCAGAAAAAGCACAAACTGTAAGAGGATAAAATGATTTTGGTAGGTGAAGGATACAATACTAGCCATCAATAAATAATATATGATAGTTTACCAAATTCAAATCAGACTACCTTCACTAATACTATCCCTATCATGCTTAGATTAGCTTCGTTTTAAAATAAGTATAGACACCCAAGGTCGCTTTCAGGAAAGAATAGCTCGCTACGAATAGGTTTCAGGATGCTCCTAAAGTGACATGGGTGCCAGAGTTACAGAGAAATAACGATTTTTGAGGTAAGATAGGCACTCACATATCACATTCACAGTGAGTGTCGAGGAAGCAAACATTTGTTCGCCATTAAAGCTGCATGCATGTTTTATCGACGATTTCCCCATAAATATGGCATTTGAGAGGATGCCTTAAACGTCACAAATATTATATGATCTATTAGTAGCCGTAGCTATCTAGCATAATTGTGACTTCTCTGGTTCCAGCTCCCATAGGAGATGCTGATGAATCAGAATGAGATGGATAGGATTATACTTAGTACTCCAAACAGAAGGCCACAGCAACCTCATCTTCATATATACGGTATATTTGGTCCTGTTTACTAAAAGAAATTATTATCCAGGATGGCATTTATTATCGACCTAGCCTGGGTCTCATCAGCGCTCCAAAATGGAATCAAAACCGGGAAGTGTAGTGTTTATTCTCAACATGTTACCGCTGGATTAGACTTTTTATTGAGAGGCAAAGCTAGGTTAAATTCAATGGCCTCATGAGATCAACCCTCATCAATGTAGGAAAATTCAACTATAAGTGTTATCATCGAAGGTATAAAGACCAAGATGGTGTAGCCTTTTGTGTGGTCACAGTCTCCTTTCGTTAT